CAGGAAGATTTGTGTTTTGCCTTTGCGCTGCACCTCCCGGGAGGCGCACGGGGTAACGATCAGCGCTGGCAAGGCGAGAGGCCATCGAGGAAAGGGGACGCCGGGCCAGCCTGGCAGCTGAGCAGCGACGTCGCTCAGTGTCCCAGGGGAAATCCTGAACACACTCATCGGAGGAGCTCGTTTTCTGTCGCGCACTCGAGGCAGCGTCGGCTCAAGCACAAAGCTGGGCTGCTTGGGGGTGAAGCGACGCTGCAGGACTGAGCAGCGGAGGGAACGTCTTGAGCAACCGATTCCCTATTCCCAGCCATCCAAAAAGGCAACAAAAGCAATGAGACCAATGACAGGACCAGTCACTCGCTTTTGGTGACAGAATGTCCTCTTCTTCCTCGTTTGCCCCAGTTTGATAGTTCCTCTTTAGAAGAAAAGACTAAAAAATTACTGAAGTGTCAACCAAGGGCAAAGTCATCCTTTTTTAAGGAAGGACATGCAAATCTGCTAGAGTGCATTCAGCTAAAGGGTCTGGAATAATTTCGGAGCATCACAGCTCAGCCGGAGGAGAAGCAGCAATCCCCTGGCGCAGAGGCTAATTGCTCGCCTACCTTTTGGAAATCATTTCACACCTCCCTGCTTTACTGCACAAAGAGGGCTGTTGCCACGGCGTGCTCGCAGCTGCATAGACCTACACTCCATGTCAACAAGCAGTCTCTGCTGTGACCACGTCCTTCCCCTTTTCACGCTAGCCAACGCGTTCACAGAGCTGCAGCACTTTGATTTAATGCTCCACAACGTAAGGACGGGGCTCTCGGCATCCACGAGCTGACGAACGCCCACGAGAGCCCAGCCTCCTCGCGAAGGCGAGGGATTTCAACCTGGCGTTTGCTGGCTGGACCTGCCGAGCGTGAAAGCTGAGGGGAGAGAGGACACGGAGGGAAACAAAACCAGCCCGGGGTTTTCTCAGGGTGGGAGCCGACCCAGCGAGCTTGGGCCCTTTCACTAACACAGCCCCACTGAAGTCAGGTCACCCCTTGTTTTAACCCTCTGCCGGGAGACGGCGCGTGTCTCACCATCAAACCGCACCCCAGCTTCCCTTGGGGGCTGGCAGGTCCTCACGCCGCTGGAAGCACAGCGACCCGGCGCTTCCCCACCAGCAGCGCATTCCCGCCACGGCGTCCTGCCGAGACGGGGAAGTGCGATTCGTCTCGCAGATGAGGAACTCGCACCCGGAGGCCGGCTGGCTTTACGGAGGTGGCAGGAAACCAGACCAAGTCTCCCAAGGCTCAAGTTCACCTTGTAACCCCTGGAACATCCTTCCTCTCATCGGGCACTGGCCCGTGGGGCAGAGTGACCTGGGTATCACCAAGTTCTTATCTAGGGAGAGAAGCCTTGAGCTGCTGGAGAGAGTCCAGCGGAGGGCTACGAGGATGGTGAGGGGACTGGAACATCTCCCCTACGAGGAGAGGCTGGGGGAGCTGGGCTTTGTGCACGGTAAATATCTGCAGGGTGGGTGTCAGGAGGATGGGGCCAGACTCTTTCCAGTGGTGCCCAGTGACAGGACAAGGGGCAACGGGCACAAACTGAAGCAGAGGAAGTTCCAGCTGAACAGGAGGAAGAACTTCTTCCCTCTGAGGGTGACGGAGCCCTGGCCCAGGCTGCCCAGGGAGGCTGTGGAGTCTCCTTCTCTGGAGATATTCCAGACCTGCCTGGACAAGGTCCTGTGCAGCCTGCTCTGGGTGACCCTGCTTGGGCAGGGCGTTGGGCTGGGTGACCCACAGAGGTCCCTTCCAACCCCAAACATTCTGTGATTCTGTGAAGCGACCTCGATGAATGCGAAGGTGTCAGCCTCCTCTGAAGCAACTAAGTCAGTCAAAACCCAGCCTGGTTATTCCTTTAGTGGTCTTGCTATTGCTGAAGCCGTTCATTGAACACCACCACCCCGTGCAAACGAGTGCCTCAAAGAGCTCTAAGTGCCCTCTGTAAATGTCATTTTTCACTTGAAAAGTGTGTGAAGCACGCAAGTTTGCACCAGTCCCTAAAAAAAAAAGTCGTCTTTCCTGCTTGATAACCATTACCTCAGAAGAAGCATATCTGACAGGGGAAGAAGGACAAACCTCCTCTGGGCTTGGTGGATCCGGTTCGGTAAAGCACGCCAACACCCGCTTACCTTCAAGCACATGGGCAGGACCATCACCTTCCCTGGAAAAACAGGCATGCTCGCCTCGAGGTTGGCAGGAGGACCGTGTTTCGGTGTCAAGCTGCAGGCAGCCTTTTCGGCTTCTTTCTTTTTTTCCCCCCCCCTCCATTTGTTGAAAAGGACGCTAAGCAAGAGTGTGCTTGTAGGGTCGGAGAGCTTTGATGACTCAGAGCTACAAAGCACCACTGTGTTACTCAGACTTTGAAAAAACACACACACAGGTGCTTCTGAAGGGGGAACCGGCAGCGTTCAGATTCCTGTCCCCAGGCTTAAGGAAATATTTATTCTTGGTGCCGTTGAGCAATCGGATGGCAGCAGAAGCTGTGTGTCATGGATTCTAAAATTACTTCCTTGCTCAGATGAATATTCAGACGGACATTTCAGTGAAGATAGAGTTGCATGGGCCCCTTTCCTTTAACAGAAAAAATCTGGAAGAACAAGCTCGGGGGTTTCCACAGTCTTTTTCCCATGTCACTTCTGAATGAGAACCTGAGGCCTCAGTGGGGATTGCTCATTAGCGATAATCCTCGTTTTGCAAAAACTGAAATGTAAAGGGACACGTCAAGGGGTAACTATCTTAAGATGACACCTTCTTGCTCGGTGCAGTTGTTTCTGGAGAGCATTCAAGTCGTCTGTCATCATTTCACTGAGCAAAGCACATTTTTTTTTCTCAGTTTAGTATTGCAGACCCAACGTACCTATGGGAGAGCCAACTGTGGTGTGTCCTGCCTTGCACACCGCTTGTTCTTTATACTTTGGAGCCTGAGTTTGCCCAGCCCACTTGCTTTTGAGGTCCCTAGCCTTTCCTGCTGTAGAACTATAAAATTTCTGAAATCGGGGCTTTATTTGCCTTCGTCGAGAGGATTGAGCTTTACCAGCATTTCCTGATCTGAAGTAGCCCCAGCAAGCACAGCACCCTGCTACCCAGCTAGGATGGCCTCGGCAGTCATCTGCTGATTTTTCTCCTTGGAATGCAAGCCACTCGCTCTCCTCTCACACCAATGGTCTGCCCGCAGCCCTCCAGCTTCCTACCTGACTTGGGTCAGCTGTGTCACTAAGCAAAACCCAGATTCCTTCAACTCACTGCCAGTTTTGGGAGCCTTGCCTAAAAAACTATTTCAGAATAAAACCAGAATCTGGTTCTCGATGGGTACAGCTCCGTGGCTGGTGCTGCCAGACACTCTGTTGAGGCACAGAACAGTAACGCACTCAGTGAAGGACTCTGGAAATTTTTACAGCTGTGAGTTTACAAGGGGAAAGGGGAGTTTTACGTTGAAGATTTATTCATAATCGCACGGATGCCGACTGCAACAGTCCCTTCATAGAGAGTTTTCACTACTGACAAAAATTCAATTTCACTACTGACAAAAATTCAATTTCACTACTGACAAAAATTCAATCAAAGCAGCGCACAAGTCACAGCTGTGCAATTCCAGTTATTCGCTTGCAGGTCTGTAACTCATCACAAAAATCTTAGATTGTGAATGAAATGCTTTTGGTGATGTCAACTTTCCAGCGACCAGTAAACCACATCACAGAACTACCACCACGTGGCAGAATATAGCCGGGAAATGGCAACAGCTAAAAACTAAATATTTTTTCACTCTTAAAAATAAGACCTTGAAACCCTGCTAGAGCCTTAATACCTGAGGAGGCCAGAAAGAACACAAGGGATAAAACAGAATAACGACGTCAAGAGAAATCTTGCAGCCTGGAAGCGGGCAAGCGGGGCTGAGAGCCCCATCCTGACTATTCCCCCTTGCCCTTCTGTTTTAGCACGCAGCAAAAAGCAAACACCTGAGCAACTGGTGCTGCCTCGCCAACGGGAAGGACCAGCTTGGCTCTTTTACCAATCTCCAACCCACCGAGAGTTATTTCTAGCCGGCAGACTACGCGAAGGAGAAGTGCCGCACTGACCGCTCTCCCAGCGGGGCGGTGGGGGCAAGGCAGACAGGAACCTCAGGTCGATCAGACGGGAGATGACGGAGGTGATAGATGGCGGGGCCGAAACGGCCGCCGGCCAAACGTGTGGATCGGCCAGCTTTCCTCCGTGGACTGAGAGCTCACCGTCACAGGCACAGCGTTTGTCATTCGGAGGCAAAGTCGTCTTCGTACAAAGTAGGGTACACCTAACGTGTTCACCGACTGGGCGGGCGGTAGCATCTGCATGTTGCCTGCTTGGTCTGCACTTTGATGCAAAACCTGATGCTTTAACCTACGTGTTCTCCCCGCCACAGTAATTCAAAGACTAATAGCCACTAGGCAGAATATTTTAGAGATTCATCAGAGAGCAGAAACCCAAAAGGCAACTACACCAAAATATTTAAGAAAAAGGCTTGACGGCAAGACAACAGTCCATAACAAGCAGAAATGAAAACTGAAGAATAATGACGTTACCTAGATGTGCTTGTGAAAGGGTCTGCGAAGGCAAATCTCTTCTGGATTAAAAACAGGCGCAGCAGCAGCGCTCCACAGGGAAGCTGAGCGGTCTCGCCACTCCAGGTACGGTCTCAGTGCTCGCCATGAGTACCCTCTACGCCCATTCATGCTTAATTAAAATAATAACAATAAAAAGGCACTAAAGACACAATCATTTACGTGGAGCGCACTCCTCTCGCGCTTCAGTTCAGCAGATTATTTTTCTATGCTTCATCAAGCTGGAAGTTGAGTCTTAACGAAGAAATGATCATGGGAGATTTCTTGGGCTGGGTTATTTCTGGATGCCAGATTAAGGAGTTCAGTGGGGACTTGCCATGCCTGAAAATCTGTATGTTTATGTGCTCTTTCCTTCCAGCATGCCACCAGAGTGGAGCATAACGTATCAATCTCTTCTGGTGTGCGGCAAGACGCCGCAATTCTAGCTGAGCTGCCGGGGAGAAGAAGAAAGCTTGTGAAAAAGAGGGGAAGCCAGTTGTCACCACCTGACGCTCTGCTTTGGCTTCCTTCTCCTGGATTTTAGCATTGCACAAGGAGCAAATACTGAACACTCTGCAGGCAGAAATGAGAAGGGTAGTGGTGGGGCTGTAGCCCCTGCTTTGGACGATGGCCATGTAGAAGGGATGCATGTAACACCCACAGACCGCTCTGCCTTGGTGTGAGGTACAGTAAGAACTGCGTGATCTGATCTGCACCTTCACCATGAAGCAATCGCTGCCTTTATGAAAGGGCTCAGGACTGGGCTGAGAATTTGTTCATTTACCCTTCAGGTGTCACCACAAGGAACCAGCTCTGCTGGGGACTGTGGGCCAGGCAAGTCAGTGGAAATATCGTTCCCTGATTCGAACGGCCTTTGCCTCGTTTCCTTAAGCAGCCTGTTTTACTGCATGTGGCATTGCAGGGGAGAATTCTTTTTCCTGTGAGAGCAGATTCAAGGAATCATCTTTGATTCTGCTTCGGCAGGGGGTTGGACTGGGTGACCCACAGAGGTCCCTTCCAGCCCCCACCATTCTGTGATTCTGTGATTCTGTCTTTGCTACTGAACAATGAAAAGCTACTGAAGAACATGATGCTCATAAGGCAAAACTATTTGCTGTGGCAAAATAACATGCTCAAAATAGATTCCCTTGCGTGCTACATAAGCAATTTTTAGGACTCCATACGAAGCTAGTAGCACATTTTTCCCTATCTGTCTTCCAGATTAATAGGTTGCCTAACAAAACTTCACAGTATTTTTTTTTCCATACAAGATTTTTTTTCTTTTCCCTCCACTTTAACCACTGACTAAATATATTCTGCACCCATCTGCAGTCACAACTGTTGTTCTTTGTCATTCTTGAAAGGACCCTATATACTTTTTTTTCTTTTGGAGTAGCCACAAAGCGGTCAGGGTGAATGACCTCATTTTTTTCTTTCCCCCCCCCTCCTTGGCTAATTGGCTCCTGCAGGGTGGATTAAACCCTCCAGCTTGGCTCTTTTACCAAACACAGCCTTTCCTGGTCTCTTTTATCTAGATTTTAAGAGAGGAGCAGGCAGCGGGTTCCGCAGAGCCGAGAGGAGGCTGCGGGTCTCAGCCTCTCCATTAGAGACATCGCCGGGAAGGGGCATGGAGCCTCCGCGAACGCATTTGGCCAAGTGGTGTGGGGGAACAGGCAGAAGAGGACCTGGAGAATGAGGGTGAGGGGCGGATGCTGCAGCATGATGGCAGCTGGCTGGGGGGGGACACGGATCCGCTCCCTTCTCCGTCCTGCGGTGATGGATGACTCTTTGGCTCTGTTTGCAACCACGACATCCCAAGCGCTGCGCAAACACGGGAGAAAGCCAAGCCCTTGGCCCAGAGAACTCACGCCCTGAAAGAGCAAACAAAAAAGGTGCCCAAGGGGAGCACGGTGCAGAGCAGCCGAGGTGGCTGTGTGGGTACGGCACAAAAACCAGGACGTCCCGGAGCGCTGGGTGCTCGTCAGCGTCGCTCCCCTGGCACGTCACAAACGCAACCGCACGCTGCAGCGACACGCAGACAGAGAAAAAAACGGGAAAGTTGCGTTTCTCCAGAGCTGGAGCATCGCACCAAACCCCGCGGCCACAGCGCCGAGATGACGGGGACCGCCCGGGGTCCGCAGCCCACCCTGCGGCTTCCAGCCATCGCTGC